TTCATTCATTCATTCATTCATTCATTCATTCATTCATTCATTCATTCATTCATTCATTCATTCATTCATTCATTCATTCATTCATTCATTCATTCATTCATTCATTCATCCATGGTTTAACTTTATCATTGGATGGATAGATGGATGCTTACTTCGATGCATCAGGGAGTTTAAAACAAAATATTCTACTTTTTCTATATTAGAATCTAATAATAAATGTGATCAAACAAGCAAATTGATTAAGCAAATTGTAAGAAAGATGGAATTTGTCACAAGCAAAAAATTAGGGTTTTACAGTCAGAACTCAGATAAAATTTAAACATGGATGTACAGAATGCACAAAACATAATAAATGCTTTACATGCATGTAATGACAGTAAAAAAAGTACTCCTCCCCACAGATAAACAGAAGACTCATATTATTAGTCATACTCACATTTTTGAGCCTGTTTCTTTCTTCCTCAGGGTCTCGCCTGCAGAGAGAAGAAATGCAGAGATTTAAGCCACTTCATACTGTAATACCACAGGATTTACTAGTACTGTACAGTATATTAGTCACCACATCAAGGGTGCCAGAGTATACAACATGCAATTTTACAGAATACAGTGCAATCATATTAGTATGAGTGCAATGTTAGTGGTAAAATTGCACTGTACTAGTAAAATTGCACTGTATACTAAAACGATTGCACTGTATTCCGTAAAATTGCACTGTATACTAGTAAAATTGCACTGTATTCTGTAAAATGACTGTATTCCATAAAATTGTACTGTATTTTGTAAAATGACTGTATTCCGCAAAATTGTACTGTATACTCTGGCACACCTGCACATGTAAAATGCATCATTGGTTACTCACTTTGAGTCATTTTCCAAATATCAAGGGCACAAAGTGGGAAACCCTGTACTTAGACAGATTATCATGCTGCCAATGTTGCCAATGACTAGCTACATACAGCAACACTGCAGCTGTTGACCTCTGACATGGCCTCCTCCAACATGACCACATTTTGAAAGATGAAACTGTCAACAATGGGCAGCCAATCAAAACACAGATGTCTCCTATTGGCTAACTTAATCATAGATTATCAAATGAATAATTTAACTTCTTTATCTATCACATTACATGACATTTGGCTAATATTTCTTTTATACCTAGCATCATTTTATTGGTTCCAAGCCATGACAAGGCTTATGTATATAGACAATTTACATGTAATAAGACAGAGAATCTTCTTCCTTGATTATTATCTTTAGATGCATTTCTGATAAAATTTTCAAGGTTGTATAATGAATCATAATGATATTCTTCATAAAAAGCATTCAGGCACCATGTACCATTATATATGCTTTATAGGAAATGGGCCATACACATATAGCAATTGTCATGATATCCCTTTTACATTGCAGGCCTCAAAATTAATTTTTTTTCTTACTGTCCCAGCACTGTCCCGAAAATAAATTTCAATTGTCCCGATGTGAGGTTGAACTGTCCCAACTATTTTTCAGGACGTACGTTTGACAACATGAAGTCAACTTTATTTTGCTTACGTTCTGACTCCCAAGACCGCTATAATTGCAGAGTAGACAAGAAATTTGGGGGGGGGGGGCTTTTCCGAGCCAAAAGCCGGGACATGTGCCTGATCGACAAAAGTTGGGCTGACATTCTGATGTTGATTATTTTTCTATTATCCCGAAAATGTCTGGCCCAAAGTGACATTTCAGTTGTCCTTAATTTTAGTGGTCAGTGGCCATCGGGACACTGTTAATTTTGAGCCCTGACATTGACACATGGATCCCTACTCCAGCTGTTCAACATGACAACAGTGAGACTGACTGGGATTCTGTCTGACCTCACATTGACACAAGCATTCACACACTGATAAAATCCCCAGATACTTACTGAAAGTGCATCATTCCGCAAACAGAAGCAATGAAATGTACAACATCCCATCTAAAATCTTGTACCTGCATGTAAACACTAGATCCGAAACAATACGTAACAACAAGTTGCCCCTCCCAGTTGTAGATACGACATCGTGACAACAGTGAGTGACATGTTGTCCCTACGCTGTCATGACAACCACTGATGCACATATTGCGCCGAAAGTCACCCGCTGATCATGACAGGACAATGTTACTACACTAACACTTACGTGTTGATGAGAATTGTTGTGGTGAAGCTGTGATATACAATATTGTATTTCCAGGCCTTACCCTACAGCCAGCATGTTTCCTAGCCTAATACATTACAAGCACAGCTATGAGACAGAAGTAGGGAAATATACACTGACATTGGACATGTACACATTACATATGGTTAATGCAATCAAGAAATAAACCAATCAGTTATTACCCAGCGCCGCTGACCCAAGCATACATGCTGGTGTACGGATGAAGCTGTGGTTTCTCCAGCTCCTACGCTACACCCGGCATGGCTGCTAGCCTAAAACCTGCAGGCTTTGGGCGTGTGCATGTCCCCTTACTGAGAGACAGGACATGGCACATGGTAGCCCCGTGCACATGGTCGGAATACCCAGGCAATAGAACCAGACATTCCTGGGATGGCAGCCACCAAAAGCAGAGAGGGGAGGAATGTGGGCATCCTCGTGCCTCCGCTAGGAGGGGATCAACTTCCTAGGTTGAACTAACCAATAGCCTGGCATCACAAAACATGACAACAAATAAACAAACAAACAAACAAATAAGCAGAGGGGGTAGAAATGTGACAGTAACCATGGCCATCCTTGTGTCTCCGCTAGGAGGGGATCAACTTCCTGGGTTGAACCAACCACTAGCCTGGCAGCACAAAACACAACAACAAACAAACAAACAAACAAACAAACAAACAATCAATCAAACAAACAATCAACTAAGCAGAGAGGGGAGGAATGTGGCCATCCTCGTGCCTCCGCTAGGAGGGGATCAACTTCCTAGGTTGAACTAACCAATAGCCTGGCATCACAAAACATGACAACAAGTAAACAAACAAACAAACAAACAAACAACTAAGCAGAGAGGGGAGGAATGTGGCCATCCTCGTGCCTCCGCTAGGAGGGGATCAACTTCCTGGGTTGAACCAACCACTAGTCTGGCAGAACAACACACGACAACAACAAATAAACAAACAAACAAACAAACAACTAAGCAGAGAGAGGAGGAATGTGGCCATCCTCGTGCCTCCGCTAGGAGGGGATCAACTTCCTGGGTTGAACCAACCACTAGCCTGGTAGCACAACACACGACAACAAGTAAACAAACAAACAAATGATCAACTAAGCAGAGAGGGGAAGAATGTGGCCATCCTCGTGCCTCCGCTAGGAGGGGATCAACTTCCTGGGTTGAACCAACCACTAGCCTGACATCACAACACACAACGACAACAAATAAACAAACAATCAACTAAGTAGAGAGGGGAGGAATGTAACAAACAATGGGATCTCCTTGTGCCTTAGCAAGCAGATCAACTTCCAGAGTTACACCAACTATTTTTCTGGCATCACAACATACGACAACAAATAAACAAACAAACAAACAATCTACTAAGCAGAGAGGGGAGGAATGTGACAATCAATGTGGCCATCCTTGTGCCTCAGTTAGGAAAAGATTAACTTCCTGGGTTGAACCAACCACTAGCCTGGCATCACAACACACTACAACAAACAAACAAACAAACAAACAAACAAATATATGCAGAGAGGGGAAAGAATGTGACAAGCCATCCTTGTGCGTTGGCTTGGAAAAAATTAAGTTCCAGGGTTGTACCAACCATTTGTCTGGCAGCAAGACACACAACAACAAACAAACAAACAAACAAATAAGGACAAAAGCAGGATAGGAAGGAATGTGCCTGACCATATACATGTAGGGATAAGCCAGGAAGAGATCAACTTGTCAGGCTAAACCAGCTCCTAATCTGACAGTTCAACACAGAAGCTGTAATCCTGGTGTTGTCAGCTCAACACACAGGTTCTAATCCTCATGTTTGGATAACCAGCTCCACACGTCTTCTGAAACTTGGACCTTAGTGGCAGATCTCTTTGTTAAGGGCTAGACTACCGGAGGGTATGCATGGAAGGGCTTCAGTTTGTTCAAAGCTTGTAATCAGATGTCTTGAAACTCAATTCTGTTGAGTGACAGTTGACTTATACTTAACCATGCTATCAGGCCTCAAAATTAACTTTTTTTTACTGTTGTCCCAGCACTGTCCCAAAAATAAATTTCAATTGTCCCGAAGTGAGGATGAATAGCACTAGTCCCAACCTGTTTTTCAGGAAGTATGTATGACAATAGCTTGAAGTGAACTTTATTTTGCTTAATATATGACTTCCAGGCACACTACTAGTATATTATAGAGTTTTGAGAAAAATTCAGGAGAACTTTCGGGGGCTTTTCCGGAGCCAAAAGCCAGGAAGCGTGCCTGATTAACTAAAGAAGGGCTGACATTCTGATGTTGATTATTTTTCTGTTGTCCCAAAAGTGTCCCATCATCATCATCTGGTCGTGAGAGTCCCAAAAGTGTCCCAAAGAGACTTTTTAGTTGTCCCGGCCTAAATTTCAGTGGTCAGTGGCCATTGGGAAACCATGATTTTTGAGCCCTGGCTAGTATTACCCCCTAAGGCCACACCAATTTAATTTCTTGGTTAACGGATTCGATTCATTTTTTTCTGATTTGCAAATAAACATAAAAATTCAGAATCAACTGCAAAATGCTGATATTTTGCCCTGAACAGTTGAAAACAGTCCTTTTCATTCTAGTTGTTACAATTATTCCATCTTTCAATGCAACTAAAGGTCAAAATTCATTCTTTAAATTTTGAACCGGCCCGGTGTGTTGACTTCATGGCTCCTATCGTACCATTTTGAGCCATAATAGGATGCCTAGGCCTGTTTTTATTTTTATTTTTATTTTTTTCGCTCGCCCGCTCCATTATTTTTCTAGAAAAATCCGTTAACCAAGAAATTAAATTGGTGTGGCCTAAGATGAACAGTTTTCTCACCGTTCCCTGGTAGTAAGGTCGGTGAGGTCGCTGGGCTCGAAGAGTTGGTTCCTGGTCAGTCCTAGGTCCAGACATGCCCGCAGGAACAGGTTCAAGTTGTCCTGAAGGGGACAGTACAGCAACAACATTACACACAGAGGGTACTTACAACCTACAAAATCATGGCAGCACAATTTTTACAAACTTAAGGTCTATCAAATATAAACATGTGCAGTTCTGCAGAGGTACACTAGGGGGAGGAAACTCCAATCCTACCCATGTTACCAGTATACAGCTCACTGATTAACCTTCTCTCTGTTGCCTAATCCAATTTTGGTACCAAATGTGGTGCCAAACAGCTACCTTAGCAGGCTGAAAGTTAAAGGGGGCCTGTAAGGGTGGGTCCCGACAACGCTCTACGCTGAATTCGGAAACTTCTGATTACGCTTTACGATAAATTCCAAGTGGCCACAACGCATTACGTAGAATTAAAACGGCTCTACGGAAAAAGGCTTGCGGGCCCCCGTTAAAGACAGAAGAAGAGAGCCAAAAACTCTTCCAGTGAGACATATGTTCAGATTTGAACTGCTGTTTGTTTGTCTGTTTGTTTATTGTTTATATGTCATTTCCTTGCTAGTGTAAACTTAAGTCTCGTCAGTTTGGCGTAAGGTGCTAATACGTTGTTGTTAAGCCTTGCCAGTTTGGCGTAATGTTTGGGTACATGTTAACACGAGACTTACCAGTTTGGCGTAAGGTGTGGGTAAGTTGTTAATCTTCTTGATGGAACCTGGCTGAATCTTCTGCATCAGTCTTACAGGGGTTAAACAGGGTAAAATGACAGTGTTAGAAAGACCCATCTGAAGTCTGCATTTTGCAGAGACATTTTCAATATTGCAGGAAGAAAAATTAAGCAACCTGCAATTCTGCAGACTGAAAAAATAAGGCTTGGGGTTCAGAGGTATCGGCTTTTGTGTTCACTACTAAGGCCACAGCAAGTAAACTTTATGGATGACATCCTCCGCAGACTCCAAATCTAATGCGAGCGGGCGAAAAAAAAACAAGGCGGGCCAAAAAAAACAAGGATCCTACATTTTGACTCAATCATTGTATAAATGGTTTTGATTCAGTGGGAACATCACATATATACAGCCAACATCACATATCACAGCATTAAAGTAAGAGACAAAACATAAAATCAGAGCCTTCTCTTGTCTCCTCTCTTCATAGTTATCTGCCATCCACCTTCCGGCATGGCAAGACATCTTTGCCCATTTTCGGCATGTTGACCACTGTCAGAAGGCATCAAAATTTCTTGTTTTTTTCCTCAAAATCAGACGAAAATTAATGCGCGCGCTGATGTCATCCATAAAATTTACTTGCTGTGGCCTAACTATTATACAAGTAATTTTGCATGTTACTATTTTTCAAATTGCATGTGAAATGTTAGCCAACATGCAAATATAGGTCCAGACCTGTGTATTTTGCAGAAGGTATTTCTAAATTACAGAACAAAATTTTGACATTCTGCAAAATTGCAGAACACCGAGAAAAAGTATTTCTACCACTGAATGAGGTCAAACAAGGACAAGTCAGACTAACTTACCATCACATGGTACAAATTACCCCAAATACCAACAAAGTCACAGGTCAAGTCTAATTTAAAGCTTGTCTACAATTGCTAAAACTTGATACTCTCTAATAAAGCCACCGCAGAAATTTAAAGATTTACAGTGTGTAAAAGAGGTTTTAATGAACACATGAGGCACTTAAGTTTGTCTGATATACTACCATCTTCCCATGGTAACATTCTATTGTTGTCTGTTATAAGTTACTGAATGCACACACCATGTAAACAAATGTTATCTACTCCAATAACAGTGTGTGTGTGTGTCTGTAACATCTTACTTTAAGTAAATATGACAGGGGTCCACAGTGTGCAGATTGGTGCGATATCGGGTTGATATTTTACCAGTGTTTGGTGGCTAACAAACATGATAATGACAAATTTGTATAAAGAAATAGAGACCAGGTGTACTTACTTGCAGAGCAGTGTGCCGTCCTCCAAGGCTGTGTGGAAGTCTTTGTTCCCAAACTGTTTTCCAGTGACAGACTGGAGTATGATAAAAGTTTTAAAGGGGCATTAAGTAACATTTTGACTGAACATGTTAAGTGAAAAAATCTTTGCTTGATTGTACACGTGTACACATAGAATACAACACGGGGTATTCCGTATCGCCCGAGGTACCAGCCCGACCGCGTGTCGGATCGCCCAACAGCCGAAGGCCGGAGGGAGATCCGATCCGCGGGAGGGCTGGGACCGAGGGTGATCGATGTAGAATACACCGTGTTGTATTTTATTTATGTCATACCCACCCAAGAAAACACGCCTTTCAATGCGAAATAAGCAAAAATTTGGTGTCCCTGATCCCAAAAAATGCAACAACATCAATTCCACCGTCCGAATTGTGCATTCAAATTTTCGAAAGCGTTGCACGCGGTTAGGGCGAAACGCGTTCGAGTCGTTCTATGGAACATTAGAAAGCCCAAGCCGTACGCGTTAAGAACCCCCGGGCCGTACCGCTAGTTATCACACTGGCCGGAACACCCGTATCGAACGTAATCGCGGCCCCTTTATCAACTTATTTTTGTAATTATCTCACATTTCTGACAGTTATGGTTTGCGCTAATTTTACTTTTTTAGTCAGATAAGGAATATAAACTAACCTTTGTCCTAATCTGGAATTATGTAACATATGATTATTGATTTCAATCCACACTTCTCCCATCCACATTGTAACAACCTTATTATTATTATAGTGTACTTGTCATACAGTTTGAACATATACCTAATACATGCTCAAGATTCTGTTACCAATAAATATGTTCATGAGTTTCCTCCAAAGTTAAACTGAAAACGGTTTTGAGCCATAGTATATGATACAACTTATACTGTTGATCCCCACAACACAGCACAATGGCATAGAGGATTAAAAGACGATAGATAATCATTGAAAAAAGCAAGGAAAAAAGTACTAAAAGGCAATGCCAGTTATTAAAACGATATTATGCAAGATTTTTGTGCCAAAATCGTCATTTTCTCATCTAGATTGTCATTTTCAATAACTTCAACATAATTACGTAGCTATTTCGCTTTACCGGCGACTCAGCGCAGCGCGAGAATAAGTTGCACCAGGTCCGCTGTATTTTTAGGAGGCTCCTAAATAGACTGTAAACAAACAACATGGCCATGTTCCACACATACTAGCGCCGAGGAGTTGGCAGCTTTACTCTTCAAATGTCATTATGAACCCAAGTAGGATTATAGTGCAAGAAAATAGTGTGTAAAACAACAATGTTTAAAATAGTGAAAATCTTACATAATATCACTTTTAAGTTGAATTAAAGCTACCTCTATCCAGCAGCGGCACTCCTGTAGCTCCCTGGCCAGCTGGGGGTCCAGTATTTCTATAGGGGGGTCCAGGCTGTCCAGCTCCCCCCCTGCGTCCTCCCCGGTGGGGCGCATCATGGTGGTTACTGGGGGATAGGGGGGTGGGATGTCCCAATGTCATGTTACTGGCAAAAAACTTGTATACATTCTCCAGAATCTTCATTTAGACCAAATGTCACCCATTAATGTAAACCTAAGATTCGATTGATACACACATGCAAATACATTTGTACCTGATGTACAAAAACTGCGTACGGTTGCAATTGAATGAAAACTGCACACAAGTACATGTATGTCCAATTTTTCCTGCAAGTAAACTGGCCTGCTTTGAAGTTTGACATGTCATGCATTCACATCTTACGTTACCTTGAGGGCTGGCGTACAATCTGAGCGTATGTTGTTGTTTATCAAAGTAGGGTGTGGGAACAATTCAATGTGCGCAGTTTCAGTACGTTAGATTTTTGCCTGCGTGTGAATTGGGTCCAAATTTTGAAGCGCAGCAAAATCAAGTTCGTGATTGAACTAATGCATGTAGTAGCAATACAATCATGTAAGACTGTATACTACTAAACTAGATATGACATGAACGGAGATGCCTGCATTTATTTACAGATGTTACAAGTTTACTGTGGGAAAGTGACCTGGAAATCTGTGAACCTAAACCTTCCACAAATATTTCACAATTTACAGTAGGGCAGAACAATGGGCCCTGGAATTTTGCTACTGTTGACATTCTGATCATTGTCAAACAAAAATATTGATCCTACTCTTAGTTTTCTCGAGAAAAAAAATTGCCAATTGCAATTGCAGAAGAGATTAAAATTTGATTGCAGAACTGCACAACCACAAAACACCAATAAAGGTATGGATTTTTTTGAAAATGTCATTAAAAATGGCACAGCTGGTATACTAGTATAAGCCCTGAATGAATTGTAGTAAAATTCTTGGACCCCTGCTAGACTATGGAAATTCCAATGGCCATATAAAATAGCTAATTCCACAAATCACTTGATGACATATGGACATAGCTGTAACAATAACAAGCTGCCAAAAGGCAAAACACACTATTCACGACATAAACCAAAGAAAGTATAACTAAACATTTTTCTTTCAAGTGTAATAAAATATTAACAAAACCATGTTCATACTCTAGGTAAAAACACAAATTGTTTCTGAGCAAAATCTATCACACAATGGTTGCTAAATGTAATTTGATCCATTCAATAAACATGTCATACATACTTTGTAAATTCCTTCTAAAACCAAAATATTTCAACCATTTTGTAAATAAGCTTACACTGAGCCACTGCTTTATGTTTGACAATAAAAAAGTGTTGATATCTTGTACTTATTCAATCATGTAATGTATTAGTATTTAAAAGTGTCTGCTGCATTAGGTAAGCCAACTTGCCTCAGGGTACCACAAAGATCTGCCCTAGTTTTCATAGCTGACTGCAGTTGTTTATTTATTAAAGTCCACCTTTGGGGGAACAAACCTTTGGCCCATTTAATTCTAAAACCCATTTTATCACCAAAACTGTAACGTTAACAATAATCTCATTTTTTCTCAAATTTTTGCAAAGAAAAAATACGATGAAAATACTTTTTAAAGAAACTAGAATTAGAATATAGAGGGATGTTTTCGTGCCGAGTTAAAAAAGCCCTTTTTGGGTCAGACCAACAGCTGAAATCCACTGGGATTTGAGGGATCAAAGGTTATTTTTAACCCTCCGAAAATTCTACGAATGACTGCTTGAAAAACCAACAACAAAGGGGACTCAATTTTTGAAAAAGCACTAGACGAAATTCTGATCGTCGCGGTAAAACCGGATGGAAGTTGTGCTGTTTTGTTTTTGTGATTTATAAACGCGGCCAGTTTAAAGTAACGGTCCCTCACGAACAACAACTGACGGCGGCTTGAACCATCTTCAATTTTCTCGCTTGACTGGTGATGGCTTTACATGCCAAATCGCTACATTCCACCGTTTCAGTCTTTACAACAGCCCGTCTGCGGGGAAAATACGGACATTATTTGCGCACAAAAGGTTTAATTTTTGGCGCACAAAAACCGTATGTCCGTCGACGGAGTGCGCCTAGCAGCTGGCGACATCAAAACAACCGGACAAAGGGGGAGGGGGGCGGAGGTACGAACAAAATCTCCTTCCATCCATTGAACTTCACTCCCATTGTCAGTTCGTCCTACAAGTTCAACAACAACCTATCTGCAACATGATAACATTAGATCTGGTCCTGAAAGTAGATGGGATTGTTTAAAAATGTTGAAATCCAGGTGATCAAACTTACCGTGCACTTGGCGCTACGGCGGGTTCTCGTGAATGACCCCGTGACCCCGATGACGTCATGCCATTGGGAGACAATTGCGCGTCCCGCTCAGGAATGTGGCTCGAAGACTTCGCGGCGCGGAACGATATAAGGTGTTACAGTTCAGCCTTTTTAGGACAAGCGAAACGGCTAAGAGACGTGCGCTAACAGGCGGGCATGCCCCGGGGGTATTAGGGTACGCGACGGGCAGTCAGTCACGGCTAAATATGGGCGGGTTTTCTTTCCGCTCAGGTGAACCTCAATCATCGATCTGCTCCAAGCAGATATGGCTTCAGCTCGGTTTTGTATAAAAAGACTTTTTCAATCCTTTATCGTTTCAGACGTATTTTTCTAAGTCTCTTCAATTTAAGATCGGCGAAATAACACTTTCTTTCTCGAGCGCGCGGCTGACAAGCGACTTCCAATTCATTTCTTAAAAATTCTATAACAACTGGGTAGCCCCATTCTTCAATAATTCTGTTTGGTGATTAAACGTTAAACACAAAAGCAAAGTGGTAGCTTATATACTGAAAGCCTAAGGTTTGGGCTAAAATTAAGTAGAGTAAGCTGGAGCCTACGGTACATGTATAACAGCTTAGAGACAATCCGCTGTGTCCTGTTGGCACAACTTTACACAGTATATATAGACCATGTAACGTTTGAGCTGACCTCATAGATGCACCTGGCCACTATCGCTATTAAGATTTCTGATTGCGTATCTCTAAGGGCGCAGCACTCGCTCATTTTTTTTAGGCTCATCAGTGACATATTAAAGAAAGAAAAAGATGGAAACTTAATGAAGCGATATCACGTGAGATTTTTGCACCCTTAACTGTAGATAGATAATTGAAATTTTCTGATCTAGATTGTCATTTTCAATAACTTCCAACATATTAGCATCACTATTTCGCTTTTCCGGCGACTCAGCGCAGCGCGAGAATAAGTTGCACCAGGCCCGCTGTATTTTTATTTCTTTCTTTATTTCTTTCTTTGAATTTACCACATGCAAAAACAAGAGGAAGGGAGGACAAAACAGGTGTATCAACGCCTTTACAAGTTGTCCTCCCAAACCTGAAATGATAATAAAAAACAATACGAAACCAAATCAAACAATAAACATTAGACATCAAAAATCAGTAGACATGAAATATACAATTCGGTAAAAATTATACACAGAATTGATTATGTACAAAAATGATCAAATATCATTATGTACAGAGTAAAAGCTAATTATATATATATAAATACTAATGCGGCCTTAAAGTAGTGCATGAGGCACACCCACAAGATGTGGACCAGGAGCAGGGGACGTCGATATTGAACTGGGTGTCAAATCTCATAAACGTGGCTCTCTCACTAGCGATCGCTTGAATGTCAAGATGTTGGACATTTCAGAGGCTTGAACCCCAATATTACGGAGGACAGGACTCAGCTGAGTCCTGTCCTCCTTTTAGGAGGCTCCTAAAAAGAATGTCTAAACAAACAGCTAGTGGCTTTCGTTCGGGTATCTTCGGCAGCTTCAACACGTTTTTGCGGCGCAACGACGTTGATCTGTTACTCCCCAAATGTCATTATGAACCCAGGTGGGCTTATCTTCATCTTCATCTTTTCCGGGGCTCAAAGATGTTATGTGAGCCCCGGCTACTCCCCCATATAGCCCCTTCTTGTGCTTATAGCACAAGAAAATGTGTAAAGCAACGATGTTTAAAATAATATTAGTGAAAAATCTTACAAATATTACATGTACCAATGTACGTAAATGCCTTTTCTTTCTACCGCCTGTTTACATACTACCTGCATAAAAAGATAAGAAGTTTATGCGGCGTCAACAACAAGCTACCAAACGGATCATGCGATCGCGAACGGAAGATGTTGGGTTGAAAGTTGAAACCATGGTGTCAAGTTGAAACCTGTTAGAGTCCTGCATATCAGGCCACGGACTCTAGGAGGCGCTGTGACACCATGCATCATCCTGTGACAGATACAGACTAGTGAAACATCGGCGTTTTTATTTAAAACCTTCGCGATCGTCTTGGGTATGATGGTGGACTAGCTATTTGTCATAACTCTTGAAGCCATGGATTGATGTTCATGATTTTTGGCAGATTTTTGGTGGCCATTGCATTTGGGGGAGAAAAATACTAGTACTATCTTTCAAATTGCCATTTTCTGTGAACAATGATTCAACAATTGCAAACCATAATCTTGCCGCACACTTTGTCACAGTTACAGCAGAATTCTGAAGTTAGTTATATAAAGCACCAGTTTCACGAAAAGGCAAAACAGTTCATTTTCCATGCATATGCCGAAAAGGTTTTAGTTTATATTTCGCGCCAAATGCACTTTGACCTAAGCGATACCATATAGGATGGGTAAGGTGGAAATATTTATCACAAATATTTATTCTACATTCATAGGCATACGTTATGAAAGAAAATAATAGTTTTACAATATTATATTATTAGTTTGTGATATAAAGCTGTTAGTTATTTATAGATTATATTCTAAGCCTGAAATTCGTTTTGTATTGATACTATTTCAAAATGTATGTCCCCACATAAAATTGGCTTCGTCCATCAATGGCCGTGCTACGTGGGTGCACCGAACGAGGGGCGGTATGTGGGCGTCACAGGTCGGTATTAAAAGCTTTGCAAACCTTAAAAACATTTTCTCTCATCGTCAGATGATACAGAAGATTCTTGTTGTTCCAACAGTTACATTTCTTCCAGCCAAGAGAGTGAACTGTGTTGGTAGTATTCACTGTATTTTGACTAGCCTGTTTCTCTATGCGTTCGTTCGTATGTGCGTCAGTGCGCTTGTGTATGTGCTGTTGTCCTTACCATATCCAAGCGCAATTTGCCTGTGACACATACTGATTGTTAAGATATTTTTCCCAGTCGGACTGGAAGGGATGTAAAACATCATGGGTAAAGAAGAAGTCCACCTAGTAATGTAACAGTGGGGTTCAAGCGCCGCTAACAGATCCATTCCAATGGGTCCGGACTGTTTGGCGTGGTTGTTAGCGCGCTGGTGTCTACCCAGGTTCGGTGCGGGTTCGATTCCCGGCATCCCGGAAGTCAAAGGTTTTCCTGTTTCTACTCGCTCCTAGTTGTGATACATATAGTTTTTACTCTGTTTCTTCTTCCTCTTCTTCTCCAAACAAATAAGGTCAATGACCTGAACCAGACATCTGTCACCATGGTAACTAGTGTTGGGTTACATCATGTTGCAATTTTATGGCAGGAGGGATTTAGACTCCTGTCACCATCATATATTATGAATGTGTTTAAGTTAGAATTAACAGAGCAGGCCATATGCAGAGGTAAACATTATGCATTTACTTTGCAAATGTTACCTTTCTTCTTAAAGTTTCACTCTTTTTGACTGATGTTCCAGATGGCAGATGATGAGTACAGCTGGGAGGGGTTCACCCTTCACGGCCTGTTCCAGCAGGCTGCGGCTCAGCATCCACACAAGACGGCTGCCGTGTTTGACAACGGACACGACACGACGGTAGTGACGTACTGCGAGCTAGCGCAGGCTGCTGACGACCTGTGCTCCCTCCTGAGGACTGTCGTGCCAGACATCCGAGGACAGTCTGTTGGGCTGTACGCAAAGACAGCACTAAACCTCCCGCTCTGGGTTATCAGGTATTTGCCATTCACAGTCATCTGTTCACAACAGAGCATATACTTCTTCTTCTGCTTAAGTACCCTAGCTAGAACGACCCCTGTACGGGGTATCACTGAGGGGGGAAGCGGTACACGGGTTATGGCAGGGCGGCTTCTACCCTGGCCTTAAAAGCCTCTGATTCCACTCGCTTACCGTGCGGGGAAAAAAAGAAAACTTAAAACAGTCTTTATGTGCTGCAAATAACTGGAATTTGTAATCATGGGTACCTCTGGTCCTTTTTTAGGCAGGTTTCAGGTATTTGTCATAAGGAATATTGATAGCATATACTGTCGGTAGTTTTGTGATTTATACACATATAGACAGATAGATCAATATCAGCAAGTCTCAGCAATGAAAAACAATGGTTCGGACAGATTGCAAGATTTGTCCCTTGAGCCAAGTTTACAGACCAGCAGGACTGTTGTCTACATTCATTGTACACTTCCTACATGTATTCAATTATGCTTATATTTTATCAAATAATTCCTCCCCAGTATTCTGCAGCTGCCAGCATGTCTGGTACCAATAGATCCAGACTCACCCCATCAGTTGAACAACATCCATGTTCCCTACATCCTGGTTCAACTGGAACACATGCAGGTTAGTTCTGTGTGAAATACCAGTAAATGAAGTTAGACGTGCAAAGATTAGGTGTGACAGATCATTTATAGAGAAATATAATGGACCATACAACACTATGGACCCCATCATATCAAATTAAGTCAAGCAATGGGATAAATTCTGGTAAGAGTCAGACATTTCAGATGATTGACCTGAACCAGACGTCTGTCACCATGGTAACTGGTGTTGAGATACATCATGTTGCAGTTTTATAGCAGAAGGGATTTAGACTCCTGTCACCATATATACAGAGCAGAACATATGTGAAGGTAAACATTATGCAGTTGCTTCGCAAATGTTACCTTTCTAGTATTACATAAGTTCTGATATTGTGTGCAAACACATCCTATACTGTATTTTACAGGGGTTCCTGCAGAATTGCTCCCCTCTCCAGGTGTCCACAGTTACCTCCCCCTCCCTGCTGCAACATGGACTGTTCCTGGTCAGGGTACTGGGCACAGCTCCAACCAGATGCAGGAGTTTCCTGGCCTACACACTACAGACCTCAGGAACTACAGGCCAGCCCAAAACTGTGGGGGTTCCTCACAGCTGTATTGTGCCAAACATCCTACATCTCAGGTACTGTAGATCTAAGAATCAGTGACTTTGTCAAGGAATTAACAAATCCACTATTTCTCAGAAGATACTTAATGCAGATTATGGATGTGACTCAGTGATGAAATGCAGCATAGTTTATAGCGTTCTCAGTCACTGCTGATTGATAGCAAACTGTCTTCATCCCAAGGAGGAAACAGGAGGAAAAACTACTTTTTACAGGCCATTTTTGCCTCCACCTCAAAGGCATTTCCTCATGAAGTTGTTAATTATGTTTACCGAAGGAAAAAAAATTGTTTTTGCTCAGTTTCTTCCTCTTCTTTTCCAAACAGTGACCTCTGACCTGACCAATGACATGATTTGTTGAAGTCTGTCATCATGGTGCTGGTGTTGGGTTACATAATGTTGCAATTTCATGGTCTGCTCTGCTCCTGTCACCATATACTAGTAGTACAATTGTTGTACGTGAATATGTTTGAGTAAGAATTAACAGAGCAGTCCGACGGTAAACATTATGCATTTGCTTTGCAAATGTTACTTCTCTAGTTGTAATAATTTTTGTTTCTTATTTCAGGTCTCTGTTTGAGGTCACAGCCCATGATGTCATCTTTAGTGCCTCACCCCTGACCTTTGACCCTTGTATAGTGGAGCTGTTCCTGGCCCTGTCCTGTGGAGCGTCATTACTGATGGTTCCAGACAGGGTGAAGAAAGCACCCAAGTTCCTGGCAGATGTTATTGTCAGGAGACAACAAGTCACAGTTTTACAGGTGCTGATGATTGTGTGATTTTGGCAGCAAAACTGAAAACTCAAATGTTATTGAGATTTGCAGATTTGTATTGTTATTTTGTGTTTCCAGCATTTGAAAACAGTGCAAAAAAAACCCCACACCGAGGACACATGTAGTACCAAAAAATACTTCAGCAGATTGTAAACAAAGCCAGTGCAGATGCAAAGCAGAACTAGAAAGGTAACATTTGCAAAGCAAATGCATAATGTTTACCTTCGCATATGGTCTGCTCTGTTAATTCTCACTCAAGTTATCACTAGTATATGGTGACAGTTCTCATGTTATCACTTATATGGTGACAGGAGCAGAGCAGACCATGAAATTGCAACATTATGTAACCCAACACCAGTCACCATGGTGACAGGGGTCAACAAATCATGTCATTGGTCAGGTCATAGGTCACTGTTTGGAGAAGAAGAAGAGGAAGAAATTGAGCAAAAACAATATGTTTTCCTTCGGCAAACATAAATATGACATATCTGTGCCATGTGCTGAAAGATCTAGATCACTGCCTCATTAGAATATGGCTGTACATGATGCAATACAGAGTTTAGTTACCATGATGAGAATAATACTTACCTACCTAGTCTAGAATTAACAAGAATTCCGAGATTTCATACCTCCATGAAATATGGGCTTGATATGTAAATGTAAATTTCCTCTTTAATTATGCAAATTACCTCCGCATTAACATGATATATGCATCGTGATGTATGTTAATTTTTGATTAACTTACAGATGTCCCAAGTATGACATTCCCATTATTCACCATTAAGAAATCATAGAATTTTTGCATAAATTATGCAAATTAGGTCATCATTTGCATAATTAGTATCTGTTGATGTTCTGCCTGCCATAGGTTACATACATTACATGTATGAAAGTAGTATAATGTAAAACACTGTAATCATAGAATTTCCTCATTAATTATGCAAATTAAGTCTCCATTTGCATAATTTGCTTTTAATCATGTGCATCTCTCTCTCAGCTACCTACACACCAAAAATCATGAAAATACGTTGTTCCTATCTGGACTTATTGGCTTTTAAACATTTCGCCAGAAAGTGCCCTGCAGTTCCAGAACAAGCTGCTAGGGGGACCAAACTCACACCACTTATTCCTGACAGGAAAAGCTATCTGCCACCAAAAAGTCAAGACCATAGCATTTTCAGGACAAAAGATACAAAAACCGGAAGTTCTGCTGCAGTACCAAGGTCATCCACCAGGAGGCCCATATTTGACTTTGACGTTTGTCTTTCCAAGACTTACCAACATACCAAATATCATCATAATCCATAAAGGCGTTCTGAAGTTATGCTGACCACAAAGTTGCGGAAACACAGACAGACAGACAGACATACAAACAGACACGCCAAAAACATTTTTCATGGAGGTAACAATGGTTATGAAGTTTGGTCATCTCATCTGACTGACCCATAATGTTTCTGTGTGGTCTAGGCGACCCCGAGTCTTGTGCGCAGGTTTGGACCAGAGCTGCTTCAGACACGGGTACTCGGTGCAGATTCTTCCCTGCGGCTTCTTGCGTTTGGCGGGGAGGAGTGTCCGGTACCCGCCGACATCCGCGCCTGGAGAGGCCCCGGCAACGCGACCCAGTTCTACAACATCTACGGCATCACCGAGGTGTCGTCATGGGCAACGCTCTATAGAATTCCTGAGGAACACATCAGCACAGGCGACAGGTTTATATCTTATTCCTCAAAATCCCTCACATGGAAGTTAGACTTCATAAGAAAATACACAGTCATTTCTGCCGAATATGACTTCATAATTTAGCTATTGATTTTAAGTGACCACTTCTTTACACCATAAGAAAATGATGTGCGTTGGTACAAATGTCTACTACGAAACCTAAAATCATAGCTTCTGTGTGCCTTTGCTCCAGTTCCAGAGTGCCTCTAGGCCAGCCTCTTCTAGGTACTAAACTGGAGGTCAGGAACACAGAGGGGAAACCTGTGTCAGAGGGGCGAGGGGTGCTGTACATTGGTGAGTCTCTTTACTTGATTTATCAATTTTCTGCATAATTATGTAATTGGATCATGCCCGTAGCCAGGGGGGGGGTTCGAAGAACCCCCCCACAAGGCTCAAGCTCAAAGGTCCACTTTTTGGTCCACTTTTTATGTAAAGGTCCACTTTTTGGTCCACTTTTTATGTAAAGGTCCAAGATTTTTCTTGAAAAGATAGACTGGAATAGTAGAAAAACTGCTCCCTTTGTCATTGAATAGAAACTTATCTCTGATTTTTTCTTTGAAATCCTCGCAAAAACGCCCGAAATGCCATTTTAGAAGGTTCATTTTTCAAAATTTTCCGGGGGAACATGCCCCCGGACCCCCCCAAGGAATCTCATGCCTACGGCGCTTAAGGTCCCCTCAAGCAGTGGGAAGAACCCCCCCATTCAAAATCCTGGCTACGGGCATGTGGATGTTCCACTAGTATATGTACTTATGGTCTACAGCACTCACTGACAGTAAACTCTATTAGTATTAGTCTGAAGCCTCAACAGCTTTTCCTGAAATTCCATGGAAAGAACATAAAATATGTGTAAGGAATGTTGTTGATACTACAAATTGAATGGGCAGTGGAGAACCATATTTATTCTAATTCCAGGTGGTGGCCACAGGCGTTGTTACCTGGACGGTGAAGATGTGACGCTATCCTCAGACATTATTATGCGGTCGTCAGGGGATATCATCGATCACCATGGCGATGATTTAGTCTTCTGTGGTCGCCTTGACGACCAGGTGAAACGCAACGGAAAACGGGTAGACTTGAGGTGGATAGAACAGGTAGCATGTTTGTTTCATCCTAGCAAAAAAGTATTCTTTTAGGCTTGTCTATCTGTGTGTGTTTGTGCAGTGCAGTTTCTGTACGTTCTGCCAGAGGGTGCTTCAGTTCTGAAGGGTGAAGTCTTCCATCTCTGATCACTTGTTCTATATTGTTGCTTGCAAAGTGGTCAGTGAAATATGTGTAATATTGTTGAGGGTACTATGTTTGAGTGGAGTGTCTAGATCTGTGTATGATCATATAGTTTTTTTAATGGCACTGCCCCAGAGGCATTGCCAAATGTGCAGGAACTCATGTCCAATCCCTCCACAGGTGGGCTGCAGGTTGGATGGAGTGGAGGCCTGTGTTGCTGTGATGGACAGGAAAGACAGACTCCTGCTGTTTGTCGTCCTGTCAGCTGTCAACTCTCGGGGTCAAGGTCGTGATGAGGACGTCCTGCAGGCTCTGAGGGCAGAGCTGCCCACCCACACTGTACCTGACAAGGTCATGGAGGTGACGGAGTTGCCAGTTACCAGACATGGTACTTTAATCACCTTATCAGCATGTTGCATACAAACTTACAGTAAGTTTCACTTCATGGATTTGTGTATGAGCGGTAATTGACTTGTTTCTATAATTATAAGGTACAAGGTAGTAAGGCCACACCAATTTAATTTGTTGGTTCTCGGATTTTTTCAGAAAAAATATGAAGCGACAGGGCGAAAAAAAATAAAAATAAAAACAGGTTTAGGCATCCTATTATAGGCTTAAATGCTACAAAATGAGCAATGAAGTCAACACAAAAGGCTGGGTTAAAATTTAAACATTGAATTTTGAACTTTTAATCAAACCACTGCCATGATAGATGGGAAAACTGTAACAACTAGGAAGAAAAGGACTTTCCTCAACTGTTGGGGGGCAAAACATGAGCATTTTTCAGTTGATTCAGGACCAGAAT